AGTAGATTTAAAGCCAAACACACAAAAAATATAAATTTTTTTAAAAGAGCCTCTCATGAACATAGAAGTGTTTTCCAAGATAATATGAATTCTATTTTCACTGCTTATAGCTGAAGGAAAGCATGGGGGATGTAGTTCATTCTCCTTTGATTCTCAGCAAGGCTATTGCACTGAACATCAAAGGAACAATGAGCAATGCTTCCCATATTTTCCATTAGCTGTGTTTGGGTGAGTAATTGTTTCTCTTGTGTCTGTTTGAAAAAGGACCTGCACTTTTTCCCTTGCCTCTTTTCCTAAAAGAAAATGGAAAGAAGGAAAAGAGAGAGAAAAAGAAGAAACAGCACAAAGGGAAAGAATAGAGGTAAAGAGGTGTTTGCAGCAGACAGCCTGCTAATGCACTGACTGGTCACTGGGCATGAATTGCGGGGAATTTCAGTGGGAACTAATTATGTCCAGAAGTTTTCCAAGAACTGCCAGTGTCGAATTGCTGTGGGAAGTAGTTTCCAGACACAGAACATCCCTTCATATCTACTGCTGCAAATGTGCATGGGGTGCTCCTGTGATTCTGCTGCCCTTTGCAGTGCTGGGGCTGGGAATAAAGTGGTGCCTGAAGCCACCATAGCAGCCCACAGAAGTTTTGCACATGGAAGGAAACCTTTTGCCTCCTGGTAGGAGAGCAGAGGTGCCTGTGCCACCCTGCAGGGTGGGATGCACAATGACTGAAAGAGAAAACCAGCAGGAGAAAGGGATGAGTGTCCTGTGGCTGTGGACAGCCTTGTGTTACACTGAAGACCATTCTTGTACAAACTCACCTAAAGTCTTAAATCTACAAGTCACATCCCCCAGTTCTTGAGAGTCATTTGAGTGCCCCTTTAGCTGTAAGAGAAGGCCTAGACTTTCAAAATAACAAAACACATTCAGCCTTAAAATATATATCTTTCCATTATCAACACATTCTTCCTGTTCAATGTCCTGTGCATGCTTTCTCCTCCCTGGCAGACATTTCTTCACAGAGTACTTGTGTGAATCAAAGCAAGACAAAAATGTGCAGACATTGTTGAAGGAGGTACCGTTTTCATTCTCATTCTGATAGCTCATGTTCAAATGAAGGGTTTGACGTAAATGAGGTAAAATGGAACTAGTCTCTTAGCTAATCTGAAAGGAATCTCTTCTGCTGTACTTTCACTAAACAAAGCCAGAAGTCCCACAGCTGAAGTTTATCCAAACTGAAGCCAACAAACGGTTGTTGTTGGAGGGGCTTATATCATGTTTTCCATTGTCATTTTGACATGAAACAGGCAGAATCTTCAACTTTGTAAACTCAGAGACAAGAAGATTGGCTCTGAAGTGAAAATAAATAAATAAAAGCAGTGGGTGGAAGTAGGTTTTCTCAAAGCAAAATGGAGAGAACCTTTCCTATGAAATACAAGATGAGAAAAAAACAATGACTGCTTGAAAATATAAATGCAAAATATACTTTACTATGCCTCTGTGTGAAAGATGTATTGCTCCACTGTCACTGATGGAACTTATTCCTCCTTGCAACCTTCCGGCATTCAAGATAGGATAAGCACACCTCTCTGTCTCTGTTATACTCACAGAAGAGACTTTCTGTCTCCTGTAATATGTAATTTTTTACCGCCTGTGGTGATTATCAGTTCATCGGCCACAGCCAGGAGCAATGTAAGGGTTAATCTTTGAAACTGTTATACAGTCTCAAAACAATATAAGAAATATTAATGGCATGGACCCTACACATAAATATGTGAATCTTATTTCCCTACAACACAAAGTGTCTGACTGTGCTGAATGGAGAAGATCAGGAAATTCTGTGGCAATTCCTCGTAGATTTTTCCAGGGACAAAGCATCTCTCATCAGGGAAGCCATGGAGAGGACAGAAAGTAAAGCCTCACAAACCCTGTGCATCAAAAGGTTCAATGGAAGAAAGAAAATCCATAGAGGAGTAGCTGTCCTGCAGCAGTAACTAAGCCAGAGCACTGGATCCCATATCTAGTAGCAGCATGGCCATGGGAAGCCAACTGCAGTGAGTCACCATGCAGCATCCCTGTAACAGAGATAACATCACTGTGAGCAGCACAGCCCCAGATGGCCTTCTCTCAAGGAGGAATCCACTGGACCCCCTGGGCTGAGGATGGGCAGCATGCTTAGGGCCAGGGGCTGCAGCATTCTTCTGCACCCACCCACACTACCCTCAACAGCCTGACCTGAAAGTACAGAAGCAAAATAACACTTCTTGCATCACTCCTGGAGAAGGAATCGCATCTATGCCCAGTTCTCCTTCTTTACAGAGTATATTATCATAGATGAGTCAAAGGAGGGGTAGGCTGGTAAAGTATTGCAGCAGGTAAAACGATGACACTAAAATTTTTGTTCCATTTTGGGTTGAAGGTTATTTATCATCTGCAAAAACCAAAATCAGAACATCTCAGAACTGTAGACATAGAGGTGGTAGGTACTGAACTCTAAACCACGTTAAAGGTGCGCAGTCTACAGTTTACCAAACTACCACAAGGAGAATGAGCTAAGAGTTGTCATGTTGAATCAGAAAAAAATCTTATTATACCCTTTTCAAGTTTGAGGGGTTTTTTTTGGATGTTGCCATTAATAAATTGAATTTTGCTCCATAACATTGATCTTCTGCAATGAAGTGGGAATCTAAGTCAGTTACTTCAAGACCAAAAAAACCCATTTTGTTAACAGCATATCTTTACCATTGCCAACAATTTTCCTTTTCTTAGCTGAGATCTTTTGCCTAGTTTCTTAAACAAGCATGACTAAAGGACAGCGTAGTCTGGAGTATTAATGGACATGACCATTGCACTAATTTCCACTTCTGTGGGTTTTGATGAATTATTACTTCTGTGCTGCTTTTGGCTGGGATAGAGTTAATTTTCTTTATAGTAGCTACTATGGGGCTATGTTTTGGATTTGTGCTGAAAACACCATTGATAACACAGGGATGTTTTCCTTATTGCTGAACAGTGCTTACATAGCGTAAAGGACTTCCCTGCTTCTCACCCCACCCCACCAGCGAGTAGGCTGGGGGTGCAGAAGAAGTTGGGAGGGGACACAGCTGGGAGAGCTGACCCCAACTGACCAACGGGATATCCCACACCATATGACATACTGTTCGGCATATAAAGCTGGGGGAAGAAGGATGAAAAGGGGGACATTCGGAGTGATGTGATTTGTCTTCCCAAGTAACTGTTACACATGATGGAGCCCTGCTTTCCTGGAGATGGCTGAACACCTGCCTGCCGATGGGAAGTAGTGAATGAATTCCTTGTTTCATTGTACTTGTGTGCATGGTTTTTGCTTTACCTATTAAACTGTCTTTATCTCAACCCACAAGTTTTCTCACTTTTACTCTTCTGATTATCTCCCCCATCCCACTGTGGGGGAGTGAGCGAGCGGCTGTGTGGCACTTAGTTGCTGACTGGGGTTAAACCACAATAACTTCAAACCAACAAATTAAAACTTGCAACTGTTACAGCAGCTGTGGCTTGTGCTCTTCTCCATATGACTAACCTACCATAAAAACATTAAGCACAGTATAGTTTTCATGGTGCCCACTAGCCTGGGAAAGCATGCTTTGTTATTGTTTCCCCCTACCGGTAGGCTGAACCTTTCAACTCTGAAGAGATTGCTTGCAGTCCAAAATGCTAAGTGACAGTCTGTGTAATTTGTGTTACTGACCTACAGCATACTTTCCCAATTATGAAACCAGGTATGTCCCATTTTCTGATTAAAACAAGGTTTGAACAACATTAGCACGTAACTGGGACAATGACTAATAGATCGATGTCAGTCTGGTTTATCAGCCAGTCTGTGAAACAAAAAAGTGATAGTAATTCACTTTCTTTCTCTTGAATATCATTAATCAACACTACTATCCAGCTGTTGTGTAAGGCTGGCATCAGCTGAGATTTTGCAAGTGACACCTGGCTGCCTATTGCAAACCTCAAAACTTTGGCAGAAGCTGGAAGAGGAAATAGGATCTGCTTGTAATCTGCAGCACTAAGAAGGGAGCAAATGTAATGACTCCGACTGAGGCATCAACAGTAATATTCATGCCAGAGACAACGCCCTTCTACCTCTGCCTCTTCCCCCTGTAATAAAGCAGTGGATGTTTCCAACTCCACCTCCTCTTTTAAAAAATCAGTCTATGTAGATTTGGTCTCAAATCAAAAACTAATCTGGAAAATAATGAAAGGGCTATATAATGGTCTCATTTTCCTAAGGCTAATGTCTTCCAGGGATGTGTGATCTAAAATGTGTTTATGAAATTTGTCATATTTCCAAGAACATATATATAATGTTTAGAGGGGGTGGATTCCCCAGGCTTTCATTTAACATGATTTTTCCAGACCAGAAAGGAATGTTTAAATTTCCTAACCATAACCTTGCCTGCCATGTGCTTGGTAAAGAAAAAGTTAGGAAAAATGGAAGAAGAGCAGTAGACCCCTGATCTTTCATACCTTCACATAGTCCAGGTTACTTATGATGGTGCAATTATCTGTTGGCACACAGACATGCATTATCTGGTTTTACTTTCAAAACCCTGGAGGGGGACTTTTCTGTGTTACCAAAACCTTTGAGTAAAGAGAGTTCTGACTGTCATTAGCGTTACCCTTAAACTAGCTAATTTATCAACAAAGAATGCATATGTGCAATGTTGCATATAGGTAAGTGCTAAAAATGTCTGGCAGTCTCACAAATATACCGCATCTGTGCAGTAACCATCTACTTCACCACCTATCTAATCCTTTCCAATTAATAAAAGGAGAAAGCAAAATGTCTAAATCAATCTGTTTACAAGTTTTCCTAAAATATCATCCTTTTCTGGGGGATCAGAAGCGGGTGCTCAGCATAAACAGTTCTTTGTATGCTACCTCCTGAAACCTACATGTAATGGTTATATTTAATTTTAAAACTGTAATTTGTGACTGTAAGTAATATGAAAGGTCAATAAGTCTTCTCAGAGATATTTTAGGATTCAGTCATTACCTCAGAAATTATATTCCTGACCAAACATCTAAGAAAATACTTACATTACAAGGAAAATACCAAATTACATTAGAGCAAAAAATTATTTGGAATAATAATGAAGGGTTTCTGGCTCTGCTCTGACACTGCTTTTAGGGCAGTAGAGTTTTCCTGATGACCTCAGTGAAGTTCCTCAAGGACTAAGGTGTGTACATATGAGAAGTGTCATGCTCCAGGTGACTGAGATGTCCTTTACCCATCCCAGATGCAGCTGAGACAGGCCCAAATCTGTCTGACCTCCCTTTTGGCACCGATGTGAGCAGGGCTGTGCACATGCTTCCTTTGCAGTCACTGCAAACTGCCAAATACCTCCAGTCTGGCTAGCTAAAATTTAGGTTGTCTTCTGGAAGTAGTTGTCTTGATTAACTCTACAAACTCAAGATTAATGGGATGAATGTAAGCCTTAAGGCTAGCAAATGCTTGCACAAATTGTGCTTTCCTAAAGAAGCATTTGAAGTTCTTACACTTTTTGGTAGTTTAACATGCAGGACTTAAATGTGCCTTCACATGGTGGAACTGAATATACATTGCTGGAATCTGAATTATCTGTCATGTCTGAAGCACCAGCTTCATGTCATGTCAGCCACCAGAAGGCATTTTATCATGACCATGGTCAGGGCTTGTGAATGCTTTACACTAACTTGACATATATATCAGAAAACCTGAATTGTGTCAAGGTGATTTCATTTGCAGGCTAAAAGCATCCTAGTGGGTTACTGGGGCATACAGGTTTTTTTCATGGAAGTCACACAAAACTTCTTGTTCCACAATACCCAGATCCCAAGCTTTTGAAAAGGTTCAACCTGAGGCTGTACTCAAATCTCCATTCTTAGCTATTACAGCAAGACAAAGAAACCCATAGCCCAGAGGTACATCTGACTATCCTAAACTTAGTGTATACTGAGCAGTTTCCTTAATATCTTGCCAAGTCTTGTCTCCTGGCAGGCTTTCCCAAGGAAAATTTTATATTGACTTACATTTGATACTAACCATATAAACATTTTTCTTGACAAGAGAGAGCATTTTAGCATGTCTGGAAATTCTCTTTTGAATCATGGAAAATTTGGCTTCCCAGTCCATCACTGCCCTGCACATGAATTAGTGATGCTTATAATCCACTCCTTCAGTTATTATATTCTGTGAGAAAAGCATATTCACATGTGTGGAAACAAACATTCCAAAGAGAGGACAGAATTCGATATTTTAAGGATAACTAGTGTTTTATCAGTCTCTTTGTGTAACCTCATCCCTGTAAGTAGTATGGAAGTTAGCCCAGTAAGGAAATGTTACTACACCATGAAACAGGAATGTGGCAGAGAAATGAGAATACTCCCTCACACTTCGTTTGTATATTGTTCTTCTACCCAAAATTTACCATTTCTTGAGTCAAATATATGTTGCAACTCAGAAATGTCCAGGGGTATGACCAGAATGAGGGAAAAGGGAATGAGACCCGGCACTCAGGGGGGATTTGTTTATTGGGAGAAATAAAACTGATGTACATTCTTTTTATATCGGATGGTCCCTTTGTCCTCATCCCTCTGAAGAGATATATACACCCATAAATATACATAATGCATATTAAATATATGCAATATGTATATTATTTGCTGCTGTAAGCAGGGAAAACTCACAGCATAATGTTTGCTCAAATTTTGCATTTTCTTCCCTGAGGATTACTGAAGAGACCGTTTATATACTGGAAAAGCAGAAACAGAAAAGCATCAGTTCACTGTATATTGTGTTAATTCTCTATAGAACGTCTTTATGTGCACTGGTTTTTTTCAGATACTTTACTTTACAAAGCTTAGCCTGGGTCTGTGCTTGGTGAGGGAGGCTGGTATTTGGGCATGCTGCTGTTGCAGATGATGTTGCCTGATTTGCTCACGCGCAGAGCCCCCTGAGCTCCAAATGCTCCGCTGCCAACAGCCTGCTGGTGGACTCACAGTCACCCCTTGGCAGAGGTGTCTTTCCAGGTATGCTGAGACAGACAGATTTGCCATGAAATGGCTAAAGGAATCTTTTTTCATGACTTGTATCATACAGATTAGGGTAGGGTATAGTTTTAAAGGCATTTGGCTTTCCTTTACTGCACTACAGTTATTTGTCTTCTGCTTATCAAGTTATTTGTAAAGTTATTTGTTGCCTTGATGGAGGAATAAAGGCTTCACAGGTCTTTTATATTTACAAGAAGAAAAAAACGTTTTATCTTAAGGAAGGTCTGGTTTACAATGTCTGGCAACCAGGAACAGAGCACATCCAAAAAAGGTCAGCTGTACTTGTGGAATGTCATCTGTTTAACTTAAACACTCATACCACACTTATCTTCACCCTAAGTTGAATTATTGTATACAAAGTCATTTTTTTCCCCTCTAAATTCCATGTTAATTTGGTTTTTGGTGTTCTTGCTCTCTGTAAACACGCACACACGTACATGGACTCCCAGATACCATCAGCTGTTAATCAGTCTTGTGAGGGACCGAAACAGCCTGCAAATGCACAATTCAAACTATTTCAGCTGAGGGAATTAATTTACCTTCCTGCTTTATGTCAACGTAAAAATTCCATAAGCTGACATATTTTTGTATATCGGTCTTAAAAACTGTTTCATCAAAACTGATTGGAATTTTAAGGCTGTTTTCCGCATGCAAATTATTTAAACAAACCCCCACGCTGCCAGTGGAAAACACACAAGTACAAAGGAGAACTCCACATAAAAAAGCTGGAAGCAAAGACTTACTGCTTGTGACAACTAACTCCCAGGCAGCACAGACCTAACAGTTAAAACGTTATTCCAAGAGTTAAAAGAAACAGCTTAAAAACTCTCCAGTGTCTGTAACAGGATAACAAGTAAGAACAAGAACAAATGCAGCTAAGGCAGACAGCACTGTTCAGTCCTTTTAACCACAGAAGAAAGCAAAGCGAAGAGAAACCTTTGGGATGGTAATGCAAACTCCTGCAGCCTTCAGCTTCAGCATTAAATATCCGACTCTGCTGAATTAGTGAAGGAAAAGTGTTCTGGTGAGAGTTGTGAATACACATTTCTTACGAGCGATTAAAAACATTGGTGAAAATAAAAATAAAATAAAGACATTAAATCATAAGAAGCTTGAATTACTCACCGTCTTGTTGTGCCAAAATAACTGAGGGTTGAAACACGGCAAGAATGAGCAAAGTTACTTTTTGCACAAAGCTCATCATGTCTAAATATTAGACATGAGACTCTCTGTGCAAAAATAAAAATGGGGGGGGAAGAAAAATCTATTCAAAATAGCAACATCGGTTGTTCCCTGCCCTTCCAGCACCGGGCCATGTACAGAACTCAGCCACAAGCATTCCCCAGCTTTGGCCTTAAATAGGAAAAAAATTGGCTTACTCTACTTTTCCACCCCCTTTACTGAAACATGAGAAGAAGACCCATCCCCTAACAGTAAATGAATGATTAATATTTCTCTTGGCTTTACAGAAGAAAAAAAAATCATCTAAACAAGATACACAGCACATCTGGAACTTTTGTGTGCGTACGAAATGCATGCTGAGACTGTATATGAATAGTTAGTGTGCACTGTATGTGAGATACATGCAAGTGAAAAAAGAAATCCTGTGGTAAAGCCTCTGTGGTAAAGTATTTTTTCATGTTAATTAGGGGTCAATGGGTACAGCCCAAAGAGGATTTTTAATTCTTAGTGCTCCCTAACAAAGATAAAAGGTAAATACCTGGTGTGGCTGCACAAACTGAAAGAATCCCAGAAGTGGAGGAGCAAACCTGGGCATTTCTGCTGATGGGCAATCAGAGTTAATGAAAGGGAGGCCTGAAAATTGCAACACTTCTGTTCCAGTGCTTTTCTCACCATCTCTGCCTCACACCATGATCTTGTGTATTCTGGAGAGAAGGCAAACATAAAAAAAAAAAAAAAAAAAAAAAAAAAAAAAACCCAGATCAGAAACACCAATCTGCCAAACTAAAAATTTTCAAATAATTCAGTTTGATCCTGTCATTACAACATTTGAAAGGAATGCAGAACAAGTACCACCTTTTTCTTTACTGTTTGCTCCTCAAACAAGAAGGTATAGCACACAAAACCAAAAAAAAAAAAAGAGATCTTGAGACTACCAATCCCTTTTAAGCCTAGTTTTTTCTGTATGCCATGCAAAGCTCTACTGAAAATAGGATCAGAACACACAAACTTATTTTCCAAATAAAATGGCTTAATCAGGTTTTGTTATGAATGTAGTTTTGCTGGGAATGCAGCTTTAAGTACAAGATGGGAGACTCCAGAGTGAATGCAGAAAGCTGCCACAGTGTGCATCTCTGCTAAAACAATGACCATACTAATTGCTACTCTCAGTTAATTAATTTGATCCAGGTCATTAACTGCAGGAGTGCTCATTCATTTGTTCTTAAATGTTGCTGAGATTACGGTGACCCTGGGAATCATCCCTCCTATCAATAATTCATTAACATCATGAGCTGTCATCCCAAAAAAGGGACACATATCTCTGTATGCATAACAAAATAAGAGCAGCTTGAGGTTACCTTTTAATCTGATAGGTATTGGGTCTCATTTCAAAACCAATTCATCTGAAATACATTTGCACTTAAACTGGAAGGTCCTTTTCTGTTGGGGTCACCTGAGGTGGAAGAGGTTGAAGCAAGTAGGAAGATATCTTAAATAATTTATGCCACTTTCAACATACCCTGAGGGTTTCTTCTGTGTCTTATACACTCATAAGGTATGAATGGTTTGATACATTTCAAAGGAATTACACACCACTTCTTTGCATGAATTAAATACCCCCCAGTTTTCCACGTTGGCTGTGTTGGGATAACAGAATTATTTCATGCAGCTTTGGGTTTTCATATCCAGTATCATGTTACTTAACAGGTTAGGTCATTTGGTTTATAAACTTCAAGTAGCTACAATCAACAAACAGATTGTTTGGATCTCTTCAATAAAAAGGTACAAACAGACCAAACACCGGATCCAAACCATTCTCAGCTATGGAATGAGAATTAAACTAAATTAACTGTTTATCAAAATCACATGCAGATCAGTTAGTTATTGCCACTCTGTTTTCTGTATTAATGACTATGTCTTTGTCACAGTAATTGTTTAATTTACATGAAACTTAATGAGTGTTACATAGTAAGTGTTCACATTTAAATAGCCAAGGAAAAAATAAGAGAAATTTTATCACGGTCTTTGACTTAAAGCCACTTTAATATTGAATTCTACAAAATTTTCAGCCCATTTGACCACAATAAACATTTCTCTATATTTCTTAAGTTTATCCTTTCAAAAAAAGAGAACACCCTTGGTGAATCCCTTATTTTCACTAACACTTCCCTTCAGTTTTTACAGAACACTTGATTGTTTGACTAAAATTTAAATTCTAAGAACAGTTCTGGATTGTTCACCTTGGATATTAAACTAGTCTCTAAGTAGATTATGAATCCAGATTTGTCCATGACACTTACTATTTCCCATAGGCATTGGAATATTAATGTGTGTTTGAATTTGTACAGAAATGAATCCTGAGGTTTCTGTATAGAAGCATAACCAATATCACTTAATGATTACATCCCACAAACCCCAAAATAACCTATGGACCATATCTTCCTTGGCTTCCGCAGTATATTTGCTGTGGTTCAGCAAATACTAAATGGCAATGCTCAGCTACACTGGAATTTCTCATCAGTGTTACCTTCACATAACAGCGGTTCTAGATTTGATGTTATAATTCTAGTGTAAAACCACGAGATAATAGCCATTTTCCGTTGTGAATCAATTCCCTTTGACTGGGCATTCACCATTTTGTTTTCTTTTAATTACCTGGCCTGAACAGACTGTGGCACAACAACTTTCCTTGAACATCCATGGACACTTTATGATCACAGGCTTCCTTGTCACATCCTCTGCACATAAACAGCCCCCCCTAGAAACCCAGCTGTCTTGATTCTTGAGTCTTGCAGGCAGTTTTGGAGTATTTAGTAAGTAGTTCTTGGTTAACACTCACCTTCCCAAGGATGTAGTATCTGGGCATCTGGACTAAGCTGGAAAAAGGTATCATATCAGTATCAGAGCATTTTTGCATGGTGGGACCTGGAATAATTACTTGTAAAAGTTATTGAATGTATTTGCTCTTTACTGCAGATACCATGAAAGATGTGTAGAACAAAACTGTTGACCAACCACTGAATCAGGTGACTGGAGTATTCATGCTGCTCCTGCAGTTTGGGATTCCTTGTGTATGTTTGAGTTTTGTGGTTAGTGACATTCTGCCTCAGAAAGACAAATGAGAGACATGCTCTTACATATTTATCAGGTGACCTCAAGTCCACCTCCCCAAAATGTCAGTCCTTAAGCAAATGATCTAAGTGTTACTTTAAAAGTTCTGACCTGTAGAACAGGCTAGCAGCTATCCCTTGTTTCCAAGAGAGCTTAATTTGAACTGAGAACCCTCAGTTTTTTTCATTGTAATTACCCCTATGTCAGGAACAAGACACTTATTTTTGTTCTGTGTGGATTTTAATGGTAGTAAAGAATAGCAGAATTTCAAAAGGAGTGTCTTGTTTCACAGAAATAAAACACTGCAAATAGTGCAAATAGTGACCAAAAGCACAGGGGAGGGGAAGAAAATAAAAGGCTGCATTTAGGTAAGTGTAAAGAAACTTTTTTTTTTATTCCCAAATTGTGCTTAGTGAACCAACACATGCTGCTAAGAAGCATCTATGGCATTGTTTTCTCTTAAAGTCCAATTTTTTAAAACATTTTCCCTACAAGAAAAGCTGACTCTAGAGCCACTAAGCAAGCAAAAAAAAAAACCCCAAACAAACCCAAAACCTAAATCCCATACACTTCACCTCTCTAACCTTTCCCGTTTATGAGCTAGAAGTAACGCAAATTATGACGGATGTCTTAACAGACTTTTACAGGAATTACGGTGGCCAATGCATTGAAATTGTTTCATTCTTCTCCCATCTTTCCATTTTCACTGAAATTATTTGCTAAGACAATGGGAAATAAGCTTTTGAGATGCAGCCTCTTGTTCACACGTGCTGTTTTCAGCTTCGCAGGGTTTCAATGGTTTTCACAAATGTATATTCTCTTTTTTGCAAAAGTTCTGTGCAGATTAAATAAATCCTTCATCTGAGCCATGCTGGGAACTAACTGTGTCACAGCACAGCTGTGAAGGCTCTTAAGGCAGAGCCAACATTATGACTGTATACGGGTGAAGCAGACAGCACCCACAGCATTTTCTCTTCACAGCAGGAGGGACACAAGCCAAACTAGTTTAATGACCTTTGGGTGTACTGAATGCTGGGGAATTCAAAATCTACGGCCAGGGCGTGGTTTTTCTGTACTGAACACGCACCTACTCTTGTCGCCAGTGATGGAATCTATTAATTTAACACATTGGCCCAATGCCTTTGTAAGGATGCTCCTCCTTTTCACCGAGGTGTCAAAATTATTTTGCAATGAAGCCTTTCTTCTTGTCTCTAATTCAGATTTCCACTGTACAACTGAAAAACCCCTGACCTTCACTTTTTAAAGAAATACCACAGTTCTATCGACCTAAGGAAGTAGTTAATGAAATGGCTACAAGACTTTGTGTCAGGAAAGTGTCTTGTCAAGGCTTTTGTGCTCTACAACTTGTGGTGGTTGGACATGAAAATAACATAAAATTTATAAATTTAAGAATATACTAGGTTGTGAATTTGTTTCTATGTTTATTTTTACACAATCACAAAAAATCATGTTTTGCTATACATCTGAGTAACAAAAACCTCTTAAATCCATCAGAAGAGCAGTCCAAGAATGAATTATCATAAAAAAGTAGGTTATCCATTCTACCACGGGGTTTGTGTAGAAAGTGAGGGTGCATCATGCAAATCAAACAGTCACTCTGTTGGCTCTGCTCAGGGACCGGCTGCTGTTTCTGTTGTCTCTGCTCAAATCACTGTTGCTCCAGACAGTACATGTAGTTCCCAGAAGGGCTAAGTGTACTGTACTTCAGCTATTGGTTTGTATGGGACCTCAGCATAGAAAGGTTCCAGGTTTTAGGCTTCAGCACTAGTAATCCAGCACATTTTATGAACGTGTTTTTTTTTTTCTTTTGGTCTTTTTAAATAAAAAAAGAACAATAACTGTAAGATACAGCCAAGATTTTTTTTAAATTATTGTTTCACATTTTTCTGTTTGCTGATTTATTGTTTTTCTAATGAGGAAATAAATATTCTTGTTTGAGTTTACTAAAGAATAACAAAAGTCCATCCGTAATCATATGACTCATCCTTTAGAAAAAACAGAAAACAGAA